AGCCCGTAGCGCAGAAATCTGCGGAATTTAGATTTTTCCGTGTCAGCTGATTTCTCCTTCTTTAGATGGTTGCCACTTCGTCAGTTTTACAGATGGTAAAAAAGATATAAGTTCCTACTCAAAATATGTTTAAAATATTTGAAATTTACTATTGAATAAGGTTTTTGTTGAAAACTAAGTAGTTTATATTTAGCTAAAATCTATTATAGCACGAAAAATTGTAGTTGAAAGGGTAAGTTTATGAAAAGGCATTGATGAGTGGCAACAGTGTAGTAAGCAACACTGAGGGCTCCAGTAATCGACAAAATTCTGCGTATACAGACTGCGTTTAAGTATACGTTCTGCGTTCTCGACTAATTTCAGCTTAAAACAATTGTTCTCCGTCAAAGGTAACTTTTTAATTTGAGACGCTTTCGATGACAAATATCTACATATGGGTATTCCCAAACTGACGTTACGTGACGCTTATATGACAAAATGTTAAAAAAATAATAATAATTGAACAACTCAAAATCTTAAAAAGGTTTTTCAAGATTTGCATAGCAACTAAATAGCCCCTTATTCAGGAAAAAATTACAACTGTTAATAGTAGCGATCAGGCCCGTAGCCAGGATTTTTTTCGGAGGGGGAGGGGGGTTCTGGCATTTTTTTTTTAGTTTCACTTTTATTTCAACATATTTTGATTAAAAGAAAAATACTAATAAAAATAAAATACGTATTTCACACAAACAACAAAAAATATAATCGATAATCGCATGAGGCTATTGCCTGAAAATTTTAAAATGCGCTTAGTGGCATTGTGCTACTATACTAGCACGGCCGAGTAATCATAGTAAGCTTATGTAAAGTAATTTTTTTTAGTTTATTAGTCGAACAAATTATAGCCGCACCAAATTTTCACAAGTTTTAAAATATTATTTTGCTGTTATTTAATTTTGGTTAGTTTTTTTTATATATCATTCTTTAAAACAATCCGTATAAGTACAAGTTTAAAGGCAGTGTCACACGATTGGGTATTTGCCAAAATTTGGTGCAAATCGTATCCTAATTGTGTGAACACCCAAAGTATTTTTCTTTATCCCAATCACGAAAATTCATTTGTTGAAATTTTTGAATAGAACCAATATTTGACTACAAAAAAAAAATTTCCCTTTTTTTACCAATTGAGCAATATAAAAATGTAAAAATCTGTAAAAAGGTACTAATCGAATGACACTGCCTTAAAAATTTATGCAATTAAAAAAAAATATCAACAAATTTTCGTTAAAATTTCGATGTTCCTAATTAATTTCTGAGTATGCAGTTTTGTATCCCATTGAATTCTGGTAGAATAAAGAACAAGTTTCAAGTGGTTAAATATTTCGATTGATTTTCAAGAATTTTTAAAAAGTTCGAAATTTGTACGAAAGTTTGTTGAATTTTTTTTTAATATGGCACAAATTTGGAAACTTAGATTTACATGGGTTTTGTTAAAGAAAGAACTATATTTTTATAAAACAAGTAACAAACGTTCAATAACAACAAAAATAATACGTTAGGACTTGGCAAAAAGTGTTTCGGCTTCAATTTTTTTACCACCGTATGTTTGGCTGCCAAGCTGCCAGTCTGAATTGCAGCGGCACCATATACGGCAAAATAACGATGCTTCTGGCATATGCAGATGATATCGATATCGTAGATCTGAAATAAAGGGACGTAACCGCAGCATTTTCCAGTTTAGAAAAAGAAGCTAAAGAGGTTGGTCTAGCGGTGAACTAGGGCAAGACAACGGACCTCCTGGCAACATATAAAGAGTCCACGCGTTTCGGGACACATGCCACTGTTGGCAGATATGACTTTGAAGTAGTGAAGGACTCTGTCTACCTAGGATCCCGCATAACACCACCAACAACGTCAGCCTGGAGATCAAGCGAAGAATAACTCTTGCCAGCAGATGCTACTTTGGGCTCGGTAGGCAATTGAAAAGCAGAGTCCCTTCTCGACGAACGAAAATCACGCTCTGCAATCTCTCATCATGCCCGTCCTTTTGTATGGCGCAGAAACTTGGACGATGTCGAACAAAGATGAAAAGGCTTTGGGAGCTTTCGAGAGAACTATTCTGCGCAAGATCTACGGCCGTTTTCGTGGATGACGGGTATCGGAGAAGATGGAATGGAAGAACCAAGTGAAGAAGGAGGTGTCTGCGCTCGGGATAACCAACTGGCGCAAATTCCCACAGGAGAGAGGCAATTGGAAAAGCTTTTTGGTCTCGGCCCAAACTGACAAACGGTTGTAGTGCCAAATAAGAAGATATATTTTTTCTATGTCTTTAATTGCATGATAAAAACATAGCAAGGTATAACCGTTCTCTCAATTTGTCGGCCATGATTTTTTTTTGAAGTTTGCCAACATTTTAAAATCATATAAAAGTGAAAATAAAAAATTGAAATTGTTCGAAATTGTTGTTGCTTGAGATTGAAAATGAAAATGTGTGTGTGAGTTTGTGAGTAAATTTAAAAATTAAATTGTTTGGAAACGTCAAGAATTTTAAAANGAATGCGTTTGAAATATACGTTAACATATCATCAGGAACGTTCTAAAGAATAAGTAAACAAAAAAGTTTATTCCAAACGTTCAGAATGAATAAAGAAATTCAGCCTTTGTATCATGTTTAATTGGACATGCATGTCAGAACACCTACATTTTCCATTGAAAATGTTTTGTTAATATTGTTCTTGAAAGGATTTTAAACGGGAAGAAAACATTCATTTTATGTCGAACGTACTTTTTATTTTGACATCAGCACCACCAGCGGTTTAATTTTTTGCAAATCTACATATGTCTACTACGTTTCAACTAAACATGCCAAATGTGAAATAAATCAGAGCATAAATACGGGTTTTCAAAATATCTCGACCCTGGCGCCACCTAAAGAGACCATTTTTGGCAAAAACATGTTTGCTTACATAACCAGCTTATATTATAAAAAGCAGCCATATCGGTAAAAAAAATAAGTTAGATATGTATAGGACTTTTAATTTCTTTTTTACGTGAATGACTATTCGCTGGATTCGCCCATATGTTCATTTAAATCTCTTTGCTTTCTTTCAGCAAAATATTGGTCGATTTTTTGCCTTTGTTGGTAAAAAAAATATAAAAAGTTGGTAGATCTGCTAATAAAGTGGTAAAGTCCGTGCAATGCTAGTCAAGGCCTTAACTGCTTCCCCTCCACCTATTTTGCACCGCGTAGTTCATGGCCTTAAGGATTGCAAATACCTCAGGCTGGAAGACCGAAGCATACTCCCCAAGAGAAAAATGAAGCTAATCCCCATTAAATTCCGTGAAGAACCCAGAGCCTGACCCAGGGTCAGATTTGGAGCCATCAGTGAAGATTTCACAATGTGTGAGTCCGAGCTAAGTGCTGGTATCAAACCAACATTCAGCCTCAGGGACTGGCGTACTATCCTATGACATTGAAAAGACTCAAGTGCTCAGATCTCTGCCGCCAGCAATTTCCGTCTCACCCCACGCAGGTTATACAAACATCCGCTTCTTTTTAGTCTGCAGGTGGCCTTTGAGGCCTCCCCAAGTATGCAGACGCAAAGTGGCTTTAAGTGCAAGTGTACATCAAGAGCAGAAAACTTCCGTACAGCACACGACAAAGGTTCTTTGTAGTTTAGCAAACAGATCTCCCAAGCTATTGATTGAGAGTCTGCTCCACTATACCACTGACGCATAACTGATTATGGGCCTGATCATAGAGGTATAAATCCAGAGGAATCCATTTGTTGACAGGCCTCACGTTTTGCCAAAGACCTGTTTTCATTGCCGAAATGCTGCCCACACTTTGGAGGTATTGTGTTCCTCGTGAGATTTCCACGATAGTTTTGTATCCAAAGTTACTCCTAGATACTTCGGTTTGGCAGAAGTCTGGGCCCTAATCGTAACACCCATTCACGGATCGAAAACCATACGAAAGAAAATTACGTGATACGTCAGTCGTAGAAGCTTAAAGGGATAAAGAGTACGTTCACGTATGTCAGTAATACGATATCGTATGTGACGATTCGATCCCTGAATTGTGACTCCATTAAATGTGAGGGGAATAAGACCATCCAACCTTCACCTTCTAGTGAAGAGAACAACACTAGTTTTGGTTGAGTTAGCGGTGCGTCCATTTCCATTACACCAAGTGTCAATCATATTCAGTATTGTCTGCGCTTTCCTGCAAACAGCCAGCAGAGATGGGCCCGTGACTAGACAAGGCCACATCGTCCGCATAGGCACCTTCTTTAAGTACAATAGGTAGGATGGCATCCGGACCGGGCGATTTGAAACTGTCTAGACACTATAATACATGATCTCGGTCTGACCCAGTTTTCGTCGTATAGGATGTTAGCACCACGTAACCCACTCAGTGCAGTTTTGTCTGCATCAGAGTTAGCCCTCTACTTATAAGAGAAGTAGCTGCCTTAGAGTGCTGCAAATTTATTTGAGTAACCGCCACTGTACGGTACCATGAATCGTTTTGGTCCCTCATTTAGGATCAATTATGAAAGAAATTGTCCCGCAGGCATCCACAGATTATAGTATAGAATAAATTTGTTGGTTAGGGTCTTTGTGAATTAAGTATGTATGTATGTATGTATGTATGTTCCTTTAATTTTAACTTTTTTCCTGGGGTTCCTAGTGTCATTTCATTAGTATCGCATTATTCAGTTCAAAACAATAAAAAAAACTACATATTTTTTCAAGCAATAACTTTGTTACACATTTTTGCAATTTTTATTTAATCAAATAATTCAATGATACATTATTTCCATTTTTCTTAGTTTCATTCATTTTTAATTTCATTTCAATAAGTAAAAAATATAAAATTGTTTTGCTGAATTCATATTGTTTTTCAAAAAATTCATTAAATGAAAGAAACTAAAATTTTTTAACAATAAAAAGAACAAAATCAAAATCATTTCCTATCACTGATACAGAGTTGTTTTTGAACTTTCATCGTTTTAATTTTCTTGCCTTTTCAAATTCTCGATAATAAATTACAATAACCTCTATACATAAAGGTTTTAATTAAACATAGCCAAAAGTGTTTCAACGTTCATTCCCAACTGCAGCAAATGCATATAAATTTAGAACGCTGTTAACCTGCGTGTGTAGTAATGCATATGTTTGCCTTTTGTAATTAAATCTGCATTTGCATGCAATGGGGAATATGATTAAAGTATGTGCTTCACTTACAATTATTAACATTATATACTAAAACTGTATGTGTGTGTGGATAGATCTAATGCGGATTATGGATAAATGTATAGGTATATTTTATTTTAAATCTGCTTTGTGTGATTGTTCTTGTTGAAATATATATTCAGCGTATGATTCGGCCTCTTCACGACGTCTGCGTTCCAGTCTCGGCCTGATAGCGAAACGATAAGTGCCAACTATGGCCAACGTCGAGAATATACCAGCTGCCATAACAGCAATTGGCGAATTTTTTATATATCCAACGAGATTAGTGGAGCTCATCTAAAAAAAAATATAGATATGCATATGAATATATTTTTATATTTTCAATTTAACATTATGCGTGTGTGTAATGAACAGCTGCGAGCATTGAAATAGTAATGGGTCAAGCAAATCAAACTTTTTTAGACTATGCAAAATTTCAATTTGTTTTGCGAACGAAGGGATTGCAAAAGTAAAGACGACTTTCCCAAACTATGTATGTGTATAAATAAAAACTTTTGATTCTCCAGCTCGAAATATGTACGTACGTACATAAGGTCAAGTTAAGCATTTCTTGAAATCCAAATATCTCGACAGCTTATGTACAGAGTTGATGTCATTCAATAGTAAATATAAACTTCTTTAATTTGATATACAGTGAAAGATGAAGTAATAGAAACTCTTTGTTTTGACCAGTTTAGCTATATTACTTTTGTTTATTCGATGTTTAATATTTTCTTATAAAAACTTTAAAAATTCAACAAAGTTTACCAAAATCCCTCAAAAATTTCAAAGTTTTCATTCCGATTTTTTTTTTAATTAATTTTGTGTAAATTAAAGTGCAAGTTTGCAGACGCTAGAAAGTCGCGTTAATTTCGAAAACTATTTTGAAAATGTATTAATGAAATTTTGCACAAGATATGTTATAAGATAGGCAAAGCTTTTAAAAAAAAATTGGTCATTTAGAGTTACTGTCACGCCGCCCTATTATATAACTGCAATTTTTAAAAAGGCAAAAGCTGAAATATTTAACTAACTACAAAATCTAAAATGCCCAAAGTGGATATTTAGAATTTTCTTATAACAAGGAATTATAAACTGACCAAAGTGGACTTAAAAATAATTTTATTTTTTAATCCAGGGCGTGGCAAATATAAAAAAGTAAAGTCGGGTCAACAAAATTCCGTTATAAGTTCAATATTTATTGCCCTATTTAAAAAAATGGGGTATCATTCGAAAGGTAATGAATCAAAATCAAAAATTCGTCTCGGTCGAGATAAAATGCAAATGAATTACTCGAAGAAAATAAAATTCCTAGTAGGCCTGAAAAAAGATATTTTCATCAAAACCAGCACTTTCCAGCAGCTAAACTTGTGTTGTTTGAAGTCTAAGAGGAGTGGGAAATAAACTGAGATACAAACTTTATCGAATAATCGCGGATAACGAGTTTGCGGGTGTAATGAAATTAATAAATTGCTAAAATTAAAGTTAAGGTAACATCGTTTTACTTTAACATGAAATACTCAGTCCTAATTTACTTAAATCCCAAAAATGTATATTCCTTAAAAAGAACATAACAAAAAAAGACCAAAATGGTATTTTAGCAATTGTTGCATAAATCACATAACACCGACAAATCAAACTTTGAGATTTAGTTTCGAATATACAAATTTAAATATTATTGCGCTTGGTAATTTTCCAAATAAAAACCCCGTCCCACCCTGAACTTTGATTTAAATTTTTTAGTTGTTATTCTTTCGTCTTTATCAGGCATTTCTAAAAACATTTTTGACGTTGTTTTGAAATTTAATTAATATTTTCTAGAATATGGAAATAATACACTGTGCGCTGCTAGGCATTTTCTTCCATATAAAAAGAAATTTTGAGCATTGTCGAGCATACGTTATATGGAAGAAAATGCACAACACCAAAAGCCAAAAAAATTTGCTCTTTAAATTTGAAATTTTTGGTGGATTTTGGTAAAATTTGTTGAATTTTCATAATTTTTATACAAAGCTTGAGATGTGGATTTATATGGTGCTTGTTATATAACACTGCGGAACACAAAAAAAAAACCTAGAGTGCGCATATATCAGGTTTGATAGCTATTGGCCATACGGACAATGCCTCATACTCAGTTTTACTATATCAATTCGTGTTCTCAGAAAAAAAATTGCATGATCCCAATATCTGCGCAAAGCGCACAGTGGGAGAAATGACGAAAAAGCTGACCAATATTCGAAATTTGTCAATATGTCCATTGCATAGTGGATGAAAAGTATAAGGCACGCTTTTTTGTATCTTCTTCAGTAGAGCAGTTTCAACTTGCTTTTCTCACTAAAGTTCGTGCTGCTTTTCTCATTGGCTCTAAAATTGTGCTTCGGAAATTTGATTTTCAAATAGTGGTTAAAGCACTAATTATTTTTTGTAAAAGCTGTCTCAAAAAAAAAAAAAAAGAATCAGGATATTTGTTTATTTGATTGTTGAAAAAGTTGTGATCGCGGGAGATGGGGCTATTCTGCACTTTGAAGATAATAGCAAAAGTAACGTACTTCGAGAATTCAAAAAGAAAATAACCACATTCGTCCAAATTTTGTTGTAATTCACGATTGAATAGCGCGATAAAATAGTGAGTGCTCATTGTTTTGTGTGGAATGCTTACACAAGGCAACACTGCTTTTGCTGCGGCAAATGTTAAAGCTGCTTTTGATAGACTTTCCATCCGGTCTAGATTTGGAGAAAAACGAGATCAAAGTGTAATGGCGTTTTCGTTTCTACCAAAAAAGGTTACCTTCTCATTGTCCTCTAAGCACAAACACTAAGAACCGGGTAATGATAACATTTTTTGTAGAAACGAAAACGCCACAAAAAAATCACGTTTTTTTCAATATTTGAGAAGCTGTAGCAAAGAAAGAAAATGTGAAGGAACCTTCCGCTTAGGCATTAATCAAAGCTACAACTCTCGACTACTGTCCCTTAAGATACCCCTTGCACCTAAACCTAATGGTTACGTAAAAAAAAATTTAAAAAAATGTTGTTAAGATGGAGGGATGGCGTTTTCAGGAACAGTAGTCGAGCTTTCTAGCTTTAATTTAAGCCTAAGTGTGCAAGGTTCTATCATGTTTTGTTTTAGAGCTTCTCAAATATTGCAAATATTTTTACACTTTGGCCTGGTTTTTCTCATCTACAGCTTCCCAAATAAAACACTTGAGTTTTTAAAAAAATACCGTTATATGGAAATTGGCGCATTTGTAGGCGGATTTGCTTTATATTAACAACTTATACAAATATTCACTAAAGAAGCTTGTGTTCTAAATTTGAAGCGTCTGGGTTAATTTTTACTGTATATGGCCAGCTTTTTGTGATTTCTCCCACTGTGTAGCGGCCAAATTTTTTTCTCCAAATTTTGAAAATTCTTCGTATTTTGGTCTATGTTTACTTTCAACAAATATAGGCAAAAACACGATAATTTTCAAAATTTGGATAAACATTTTTGACCGCTATAGTGAGTTTTATGGATCCTGAAAACTGTTTTCTCGAGAAGTCGAATAGATCTAGTTAATCTGAGTACGAGGTATTGTTCGTATGGCCAACAGCTATCAAACCTTATATATGAGCACTCTTAAGTTTTTCTTTGTGTTCCACAGTGTAATGCGCTAGACTTTCATAAAAAAATATGAAATATGGAATAAACAAAAGCAATATAGCCAAAACAAGTAATTTTTAGCAAAAAAAAAATGACTAAAAAAATATATATATATCTATATATTTCATGATTCAATAATCGGATCTAAACCAAATTAGTATGGGAATTATCGAAATCGGTTGACGTGGTCCAAAGTTATGCGGTAACATACATAAAAAAAATATATATAGCATTTTCAGTTTAAATGAAACTTTTTTCAAATTAAATGAAACCTTTTTCAGGTTAAGCGAAACCTTTTTCAAATTAAATGAAACCTTTTTCATGTTAAGCGAAACCTTTTTCAAATTAAATGAAACCTTTTTCAGATTCAGTGAAACTTTATTCAAATTAAATGAAACTTTTTTCAGATTCAATGAAACTTTATTCAAACCAAATAAAACTTTTTTCAAATTAAATGAAACTTTATTCAAATTAAGTATTAAATATTTTTAAATTAAGGAACAGGAAATCAACTTAACCTATTAATAGCCGTTTGCGCCATGTCTGGCTAACACTAAAGGCATATTTGGCATTGCTTGAGAGTTGTCACATAAGGAATCTGTTAAATGAGCTTCGCGTGTAAGCTGTTACCCAACGCACAGCATTACATACGTAGAAGTCTGTTGGTTTTTGATTTCTACGTAAAAACACACACAAATACTCTCCCTTCTCACTCACTCGCTTAAGCGAAATGTAAACTTTGGCATTTGCATAACAATTGTCTAATTATTTTCTTTTAACTTAAACAAACCCTATGGATTAGAGCACAGTCTAATCACGGCAACATTCAACTTCGGTTCAAGAATAATTTTGACATGTCCCATTTCTCTTTTCCTTTTCACATCATCCTTTACATGTACTCCCGAAAACAGAGATATTTGAAGTTTTATAAAATGAATAAATTATATGATTTGCCTAGTTACCAAAACCACTCGAAAATCACAGCAAACCAACCAACCTACCAGAGCTTTATTTTAAGAAATGAAACCACCAATTTTGGTCCAATTGGACCGAAACGGCAACACTGTATTTAACATGCCTTGACCGTAAGGGAGAGCAACACGTAACAGCTAATTCAAAGTAATCCAAAAAATAAGTTTCATTTCATTTGAATAAAGTTTCATTTAATTTGAAAAAAGTTTCATTTAATTTGAATAAAGTTTCATTGAATCTGAAAAAGGTTTCATTTAATTTGAAAAAGGTTTCGCTTAACATGAAAAAGGTTTCATTTAATTTGAAAAAGGTTTCGCTTAATTTGAAAATGGTTTCATTTAAACTGAAAATGCTATATAAAAAAAATAAATAAAAAAAATATTCCGACGAACTGATAACCTCCTCCTTGTTTGGAAGTCGGCTAAAAAAGTTCTCTTATTTCTTCCACCACTGTATAGACGTTATAAATATCTTGTAAAATTTTTGCAAACAAATTTAAACGACGGTGTCAAAAAGACGAATAGTGTTGAAATCAAATAATCTCTGACCCCTGAAGACCTCTTCAAATTTCTGGGAGCTATGGGGTTGTTTTATGAAAACGGGGGCGGTAGCGATGACAAATACATAAAAATGAGAAGCATTCCCAGCATAGCTCAATAGCCCAAATCTGTATCGGTGACAAAAATTGTGGGAAAATTTTCCAAAACGGATCCAGGCTTTGGAAAAAAAAAATATTAGGGAGTATAGAGGAGCATTTTCAGATTCTAAATCTGAAGACCCCACCCTCCGGAGGCTTATAGTTTTTAAGTAATTCGCATTTAAAGTTGCTAAAAATACCGAATTCAACCTCCCTTTTTCCCTTGTATACCAACTGAACTGAAATGTCGGTGCTACCATACATACCAAAAGATGCAAAAAAAAAACAAAACGGAAACAATGAAAATATGCACATAATGTTGCGCGATATTTTATTAAAAATTGTAACTATTTATAGCTCGATTTATCGAAGTATCGATGTTATAATAAAAAGCGCCATAGGGGAAAATTTTTAATAAAAAATCGCGCGATTTTTAAATAAAACTTTTCATTTATCGAAAAATTCAAAATATTATTTATTGAAGTATCGATTTTATAATAAAAAAGGGACGCGGGCGAAAATTTGTAATAAAAAATCACTCGAATTTTAATTAAAAATTTTCATTATTGAAGTATCGATTTTATGATAAAAAGCGCCGTGGGCGAAAATCGTTAATAAAAAATTGCGCGATTTTTTATTAAAAATTTTCATTATTTATCGAAGTATAGATTTTAAAATAAAATGCGCCGCAGGGGAAAATTTTTAATTGAATTTTCATGATTTATCGAAGTATCGATTTTATAATAAAAAGCCCAGCAGGCGAAAACCAAAATGATATGGTTTATAACATCCTGACCAAGTTTCATGACAAAATTCGATATACTTTCGCTGAAATCTCGATGGGTTCCGTTTTGGAAAGTCAACCCAAAATTTTTTACTGACGAAATCTAAAATTTCGTTAATAGGTTGATCAACTGGCTGGCCGATTAATCAATGCGTGTGTAGGGCCTTGAAGAGGTAGCAGTAGTTTCTGCATACTTAAAGAGCGTGTCAGACGTCGCAATATTTCCAACTTGTCCACGCAATTCGCTGTCAAATTGAGAATGAGAAATTTTCTGGCACATTTCGGAAATCAGTTTCAGAAATAAAAGTTGCAAAATGTGACTGTAATTGAAGAGCGAAAACCGATTTCAAAAATATATTTCATCTTGCTCGTGCTGCACCAGCAATTTCGATTTCTGCTGCAAGTGCAATCAAACTAATCGAGTGTTGCCGTGTCTGTTACGAAAAACACTTTAGTTGCGTTCCAGATGCTTCACGATATTCACGAAATTCACGATTTGCAGGAACAGCTGTTTTCCCCAATAATAAACCTTATGGGAGGTGGTCACCTGGAACGACTTCCTGCAAAAACCTGCAAATCGTGAAGCATCTGGAACGCATTATATGCAAGGTGTGACTGCTCAAGCAACTGCTTTCTGAAATTTCTCTATTTCCCAGCCTTTTCGAAATAAATTGTATTGCCATATGTACGCCATGTAGTGCTATAAACGCAGTGGTTGAAAATTAAGGCAACAAATGTTATTTTCGGTCCGGCTTTTAGCAGAACATGCATTCGATGGGAAATCTTTAGCTATTTGTAAAACGATTTAGTGGTGGGGGCGGAGGGGGAGGAGACGTGGCTCCCCAAACCCCCCCTAAACGAAGGAGGATGAACACCGCTCTATGAAAAGTCACCCCTCACCCCCCTCCCCATCCCTTCAGACCCCTTGGGAGCTGTTTGAAAATAGGGGAATTTTAGATTTTTTGCAAGGAAAAAAACAAAGTTAAACTTGCGTCCGAAGGGGAGTGGAACACATTTTGCAGAGAACACATTTCTGCGTAGGCGGGTTTCGGCCGCGCTTAGGGATTATAACCCTAACTACGTAGAATTCTCCTTTCTGTGTGACATAACTGGGGCTACCGCGCCAGTGATGTAACCTTGGGAAAGGATGAGGTAACTAGAATTCCCTTTCTGTGTTGTAAACCTGGGGCTGCCGCCCCAGTGATGTCTATTTTGGTTACTGGGTGTTTTATAAATATATCTTGTATATAAAAATGTATATACAAATTTATAACAAAAATTTGCAGCAAATACCATATTTTTTGTAATAAAGCGTGAACTGTTGTCTACAAGTGTGTGTAAAAGTTTTTTGATTCGATTCACGCGTTTGGGCACAGCAACCCAAAATCGTTGTACAAATTCATAAGGAGTACCCCATTTGATCACTTCTCACTACAATAGTACCTAAAGTACTAAGATAAATATTCAAGCAACTTTCTATGTTATTGTAATAGCATAAAAATTCTCCGCACGAGTTTTTGGAGAGTGATGCTGGAGTGACAATCTTTGGCCAGATATAAATCTGGGTCGGTCCGGTGACGTAGACTGGATGTCGTGGGAACGAGCGACTTTCTAATCGCTTTATTTGCCATAATTAAAAATATTGTTTCTTGCATGATTTTGTAAACATTCATTACAGACTGAAAACGCGGCTTACTTCAGTTTGGTTTTCTATTTAACGGTTTCCGTAGAAGTTTTTGTAGGCAGTACACTAGAAGAAACTGTCGATGCCGATTCCTTTACACTCTCCCCTGTCGGATCCTCACTTTCTGCTCGGTATTTGAGTATAAGCGGCTTCCAAATGTAAACACCACCAAGGAAACCAACTGCAGTTACTATCATTAATTGTTGCACAGTGATACCGCGCGGGCGACGTATACGCATTGCATTAATTCGTACCTCAGGTATTTTTAAGGATGCTTTTATGTATATATTACTATTGTATTATTGGCAATTAATTGTTAAGTAATCACTTTATTCACATAGCAAATACACTCATATGTATGTATGACGAACTCCCACATGATTCGAGGTTATTTTGCACTAGAGGTGGGTAACTCAACTCAGAGTTGAGTTATTGAGTTGATTCCCATAAGTGAATCGGTAACTCAGACCATGATAAAAATATAGTAAGGTAGAACCGCTGAGTCACTTTTAAAATTCTTGACGTTTCCAAACAATTTAATTTTTAAATTTACTCACAAACTCACACACACATTTTCATTTTCAATCTCAAGCAACAACAATTTCGAACAATTTCAATTTTTTATTTTCACTTTTTATGATTTTTTATTGAGAGAACGGTTCTACTTTGCTATGTTTTTATCATGACTCAGACTCCCTGTCCAAAAAAAAAATGTAACTCAGTTACTCAGTTGGTGCCCTAGGGCTCACATGATTCAATTGAATCATAGTGGCTCATATTTGTCCATATAACTATCTCACTTCGCCACAGTGTTTAGCATGGCAAAGTCTTGCATTTTGTTTTTGCACGAGGCGAATTTATACAAGGTGGTGGCAAGAACACAACAACAAAAACCACATGTATTTTGTATTGCGGGTGTTATTTCAAATCTCAAAAATTCTTATAATTTCGTTTTATTTAGTTTATCTCGAAATATGTATGTATCTAAGATATATAAAGATGTGCATACCAAATCAATTGCCTTTCCAACCATATTCACATTTTGAAATTCGGTACAATAGTTTTCGAAATATAAGCTTTTGAAAATATAGAAAATTCCACCGGTACCCTCCCCCTATCGACGCCCCTATTAATTTGCTCACAAAAAAAAATGTACACCTTTCAAATCAGTAGAAAGGAGCTAACCACGCCCACTTTAAAGTTTTATTTTATCTCAACGGCCGCTATACCGCATTTATGCCTCAAAACGAGTCTACGATACGAATGAGTGTAACATACAGAGTCAAATGGGTTAGTTGAATGAGCTGACTCCTTAAAGTGAGTTGGAGTCATTGAGTCAACTCCTATAAATTTGCTGAGTTACCCACCCTTATTTTGCACGCGAAAACAGCTGTTTTTAGTTGTTGGTGTTGCCATATTAAGTGAACATATTTAATTGATATGCTGCTACAGTTGTATATTGTTCTTGAGTTTTTTGTAAAAAGTATTTCATTTCATAAGATCTTAAAGCTCTTTTATAGTACAACAGTAATTATAAAGCACAAACATAAAGCAACAAAAGGAAAACAATAAGTAAAAAAAATAATAATATAAAAAAATAAAAGAAAAAGAAAAATAAAAACGCAACTAGTTCTAAGACTAAGGCTATCTGCACACTTGTCGTCCAATCATAGTTGCGTTATCGTCTCGCCCTGAAATATTGAGCCGAGCACATGCATTTCAAAGGAGATCTGCACACTTGTCGTTATCGGCTAGTTATCAGCAAATCGTAGAAGATGCAGAAACGGATAAGTACGGCACTGTCGTTTGCTAATCGTTGTGCACGCATTGTTTGTTTACATTTTATGGGGAAAAATTAGTGAAAAAGTTAATATTTGCATTAAAATTGTATAAAAATTAGTATTTTTTTGCATAAAATCTGTGGAAATTATTAAAAAGTGGATAATTGCATTAAAATTTAATTAATATGAGCGTTTTAACTATAAAATATGACGAAATTGTATTAAGTCTCTGTGTGCATACACAAAACACATTCCAGGAAAAGAAAAGAAGAGATATTACTGGAAAATTACGTCTAGAAATGTTGCAGCACAGTCTATATTTAAAAAATTGCAGGTTTTTGTAAATATTTCGCGAAAATATCAACCAAAAAAAACAGAAAATACCTGCTCCAAGTGAATTTTTAGACGCCAAATGAATTGAAATATCACGACCAAGTGTGCAGAAGTGTAATCGTCATGTAATCGTTGCTTCATGACGATAACTATGACTCAACTATGATTGGACGACCAATGAGCAGAAAGCCTAAAAACTAACATTATTACTTAAGTAAAAACACAACGACACAAACGTAAACATGTGTAGATAAATACATCACATATGATAAACCTAGCAGACAGCGAAACTCAGAGTACAAAAACTCATTGACGAAAGTACGAAAACAACACATTCCTAAAGTTGCCCTTGTTTAAGCTGAAGCGAGTAGCAGGTGGCAAAAAATAGTCTTGCAGAGTTAAGATAATTAAAGCTAGGTACAATTAAGTCGCTTATATGGGCAGATTTTGGAAAGGTTAGCTTATTATACAGATTGCTAGGTAGCTTATCCGACATTAAACGGAAAAGAAAAATACAATTCCTTGCTTTCAAGTACTCAGATATCTCACAACCCAATAGACGTGATCTCCAACTAGAAATGTGATCAAATTTAGCCAAACCAAATACATATCGTGTTACGTGATTGAATACTTCAATTTTGTGGGCAGATTGAGAACTGAGCTTCCTGTATATATATGTACCGTTCAATTAAAGTAGCTTAAGTGGATTTAGAAGATTTGACATTGAATTAAAAAATAATCCGTTTCCCTTGAAAATTTTTATATATATGTATTAAGCTTCTATTTAATGGGACATCTTGAATTACACCTTTGGCTAGTTAAATGTTAAAATATTGTTTGGGAACCAAATGAAATGTTGTCTTAAAGGGAAAAGGGCCTATTCGGTCTTATGCTAATTTAATTGCACTTCACAAATATGTAAATGCTACCGGAACTATATTTAGTATTTACATTTACATATCGCTCGCTGGTTGGAAGAATGTCATAACTTAAAAAATCATTAATGCAAGAGAAAAAAGCTGTACAGTTTTTAGTTCGGTTTGAAAAGAATAGATACATACATATACAGCCTTGGCCAAAAGTATTAGGCACCCCAATACAACACGATTTTTTTTTAATTTTTCTTTTGTTTATTTAATGATTAACATTTTTTTATAAAATCCTGGCCCACTATCTAACAAAAAACACATAAATCCAAATTCAAAACAAAACATATAAAAATTCTGCACTCTTTCACCAAAATTTCCAACTTTTTATTCAGAATCTTTGGGAAAAAACTAAGTATGCATTTTTGTAGCACATTAAATTTTAGTACACATAGTAGTATTTAGTAGTTACTAAAAATATCCCGTTCATTTTTGATGATTTTTTTCGTTGACGGTTTTTGCTTTTTCTTGCATATAAAAAAATTCGAACAAATCGCACACCTAGATCTAAAGTGCGATCAACTCAAAAAAAAATAAAAACTGGGCCATTTTTTTGCACAGCTCAATTCATAACATCTACATCCAATTAATGGAAATATTTTTTTCTTCATGAGAATTTACATTAACTAAAAACTACTGGCGGACGCTGTGGTGCTTACACTCCGCAGGGCCTGGGTTCAATCCCTGGTCAAAGCAACATCGCAAAAAATATAGAAAAAATGGGTTTCTTAACACCGGTCGCCCCTCGGCAGGCAATGGCAAACCTCTGTGTATTTCTGCCATGAAAAACAGCTTCTCAAAAAAATACAATTGCCGTTTGGAGTCGGGAAAACTGTAGGTCCCTCCCCTTTGTGTGACAACATCAAGGCTCACGTCACCATGGCGCAATAAACAGGTGAAGTAATAACACAACTTTCTCGCTTTATTTTCTTAAATTCGGCTGCCTTATAGTCAAATTTTCAAGGCAATTTTTCAAATAAGGCAGTGTCTAAATCTTTCATCTCGCTCTAATTACTTCACCTGGTATAATTCCGCCATGCACGCCACAAATCGGAGAAACTCAATCGAGCACTAAGATATGTGTAAGCGCCAATCTACTATTATTATTATTAAAAAACTACTGTTATACCCATGATAAAAACATTAGAAGGTAAAATCATTCTATCACTTCGACGGCCATGATTTTTTTCTGACGTTTGCAAACATTTTAAAATCAAATAAAATTGAAAATAAAAAAAATGAAATTGTTCACAATTGTTCTTTTTTGAGATTAAAAAGGAGAATGTGTGTGTGAGCTTGAGCAAGGTGTTGAATACATTTTGAGCTTGAGTTCGAATTTTAAAATTCTATTGCTGGCAAACGTCAGACTGCCTCTCAATGATTTTGCCTTGTAATGTTTTTATCATGGTTATACCTGTTTTTGTATTAATTGCATTGAATATGTACGATCCACAAGCATTTAAATTTCCCTCTATGAATTTTGAGTTAGCTCACTTAAGATCTAGGTATGCGATATGTACTTATGGAAGATACTGCCAGCAAAGAGAAAATGCCAAAAATCAACGGGATTTTTAGCAGCTGGAAACTTGTACTACATTGCACTAGAATTAAATGGGCTACAAAACTGCATGCGAAAATTTTCAAAAGATTCTGATTAAAAAGTTTGAAATTTGGGTGAAAATTACTAAAGTTGCAAGGAAGACAATTTACGTTTTTAATATTCAGCACTGATATCGTTCTGAATTTTTCAAAGACCATAAAAAAGGGCCTAAACCTTACTTTACTCAAACACATAAAATTTTCGAATTATTGGGGAGTATTCTTGTTTTCGTACGAATCGAAAATCATGAAACTTTTCTATCATTGAGGCAAAATTCTGGATTTCGTACGAATCGAAAATTTGAAATTTTTGTATAGAAAATGATAGGAAAGTTTCATGATTTTCGATTCGTACGAAAACAAGAATACGCCCGATTTTCTATACAAAAATTTCAAATTTTCGATTTGTACGAAAACCAGAATACGCCCCAGTTCTTTCAACAATCGAACGATATGCGCATAATGAGGCCATTTCTATATCAGAATGTTCCAACCAGGCATCGAGCCTGCCGAGGTGTAGTATGCAATCTAACCACTGCGGCTGCGACAGTCGGAGTACTGAATTCAAAAGGTAAGATCAAAGTATGTAAGTGAAAACATCATGGTTACAGAGTGTACAAAGAGGCCTAAAAAAATGTACTTTCTGATTACGGCAAGCGAGCTATGCAAAAGCTCTGGCGCATTAATAGATTAAAATCAGCGAAGAAAAATCGACCATATCTTTCATAGTTTGGTATACATAAATTGTTTATTTCAAATTCATTTCGTAGAGAGCGGTCAGTTGTAGCGGTTACTTTTCTAGTGAAGCGAAACGAAATAAATATGTATACAATTGACGAGTAGCATCGACAAGTGATTAAATCAATATATGTATAAAAACTTAGTTACACATAAATAAGCATTTTCACATGAAACATGCAATCTAAACGATATACATTTCCATATAAATCCAACGCTGTGGTAGCGATTTTTTATGTTTCGCTTTTTACTGGATTGGTTTGCATATTAGCGGATGACCTGCCAGCTAACCTTGTTTCATGGCATATGTTGGACACTACGAATATATTACAAAATGCGACTCGTAACATTGTTGTCTCGCCAAAAATTATAAAAACACTTCTTGACATTCCCTCACCAATAGATTTACGTTTTGCGGACGGTAAGGGAATGCCAGGACAAGGTTTAATTTTCACTAAATTCAAAAGTACGCTGAAAAGGCCACAACATTTTGAGCTTTTTTATAATGCCAAAATCCACGAAGTTGGTTTAAATGATAAAAATGAGGTACTTAAAGCGATAAATGACTGGGGCTCCCGAAGTACGAATAATAGCTTTCCTAAACTTTTTGAATCAATGCCGGATGAAATAAGCAAATTGCGTGTATTAATTTTAAATATAATCCATTTTAACGAGACTTTACAAGTGAATTTCAAATATAGTGTGAATGATGCATTTTATGTTACACCAAATAATACAATAAAAGTACCATCAGTTGAAACTACAGATTACTTCGACTACCATGATTCGCAAGTCTTGGATGCCAAAGTACTACGGCTACCTTATAGCAATAACATATCCATGTATATGCTGTTACCACACACCAAGCAAGGAGTTAACGAGTTGCTCAATAATCTCGGATATGAGCAGCTTAAACGTGTGCAGTGGATGATGGAAGAGGCGCGGGTTAATGTATTGCTACCTAAATTCAAATGTCACTTCGAGACGGATCTTAGAAATCATATTCAAAACCGATCGATCCAGTATGAGTTTAAACTGCGCGATTTAGAGCGCGCTTTTGGTATATTACCTACTGATGTAAATATATTCCAAATAACTACCATAAATTTTGATGGAAGTGGTAGAACGACGATAAACTCGAAGGCAAGACGAGCTAAATTTGAAAAATTTCACGTGGATCGACCATTTGTAGTTTACATTGAAGAAGCTAATTCCGGTGACATTATATACCTAGGCAAAATCTTGAACCCTGTTGAATGAGGAGGGTTCTACGCAAGTTGTGTGTGTATACGTATGCAATTAATAAAATACATATTTAATGTCATAAATGTAGTTTTACTTTACCTCAGAAAATTTTAAGCAGTCTCCATGAAATTATAGTTAAGTGTTTTTTGATTTTTGTTAAATATTTGCAAATGTTTTTCAAGTTAAATTTTTATTTTTTTTTTAATATGGTCCGTGCTTCGGCCAAACTCACATAAGCCAAAATTTCAAACTTTATAAGTATAGAGCAGAGCTGGGTAATTTTTGATTGCGACTGCTTAATTGTTATCCTTAAATTATATATGATTACGATTACTTTAGTTGTGTGACAACATCAAGGCGGACAGTTAATCAAAGTCAAACTTTATTAGAAATACTGCGACCACGAGTCTGTGTAGATTATTACATAAATTTCAAACAAATATGTGAATTAATAACTTATGACCATTTTGGTAAATAAACATCAATATTTGCTCAAAGCAAAACTAATTTCTCGATTACTGTAATCGTAATCATGAATAGCTTGACTTGCGATTACTTTAATTGTAATCCAAAAAATTTAATGATTACGACTACTGTAATCGCAATCCTAATATTCATGATTACAATCAGGAAAATCATATATCTTCTTCTTCTTATTTGGCACTACAACCGTTTGTCGGTTTGGGCCGAGACCAAAAAGCTTTTCCAATTGCTTCTCTCCTGCGCGAATTTGCGCCAGTTGGTTATCCCGAGCGCAGACAGGTCCTTCTGCACTTGGTCCTTCCAATGCGTTCGTGGGCGCCCTTGCTTTCGTTGTCCACCCATGGGTGCGGAGTCGAAGGATCTTTTCACCGGAGAGTCGTCATCCATGCGTACAACATGTCCAAGCCAACGCAATCGCTGTATTTTTATGCGCTTAACTATGTCCATGTCGTTAAAAAGCTCATACAGTTCCTCATTCCATCTTCTCCGATATCCGCCATCCACGAAAACAGGGCCGTAGATTTTGCGTAGAATAGTTCTCTCGAAAGCCCCCAAAGCCTTCTCATCTTTGTTCGACATCGTCCAAGATTCTGCGCCATATAAAAGGACGGGCATGATGAGAGATTTGTAGAGCGTGAGTTTCGTTCGTCGAGAGAGGGCTCTGCTTTTCAATTGCCTACCGAGCCCAAAGTAGCACCTGTTGGCAAGAGTTATTCTTCGCTTGATCTCCAGGCTGACGTTGTTGGTGGTGTTTATGCTGGATCCTAGGTAGACAAAGTCCTTCACTACTTCAAAGTTATATCTGCCAACAGTGACGTGTGTCCCGTAGCGCGTGGACTCTTTATATGTTGCCAGGAGGTACTTTGTCTTTCCCTCGTTCACCGCTAGACCAACCTCTTTAGCTTCTTTTTCTAAACTGGAAAATGCTGCGGTTACGTCCCTTTGTTTCAGACCTACGATATCGATATCATCTGCATACGCCAGCAGCATCGTTCTTTTGCTATATATGGTGCCGCTGCGATTCAGATTGGCAGCTCTTATTACGCTTTCCAGCATCAGATTGAAAAAGTCGCACGAGAGTGAATCGCCTTGTCTAAAACCTCGTTTGGTCTCAAACGGCGCGGAGAGGTCCTTCCCAATTTGGACGGAGCTGAAGGTTGTGCTCAACGTCACTCTACATAGCCGTATTAGTTTTGCGGGGATCCCAAATTTGGACATGGCGTCGTACAGGCAGCTCCTCTTCGTGCTATCAAAAGCAGCTTTAAAGTCAACAAAAAGATGGTGTGTGTCGATTTGCTTATCTAGTGTCTTCTCCAGGATTTGACGTGCTGTGAAAATCTGGTCAATGGTGGACTTACCAGGTCTGAAGCCACACTGATAAGGTCCAATCAGCTGGTTCGTGAACGGCTTCAGTCTTTCACACAGTATCGTCGACAGGACCTTGTATGCAATATTAAGAAGGCTTATTCCGCGATAATTGGCGCAAACGGCGGGATCTCCCTTCTTGTGGATTGGGCAAAGTACACTGAGATTCCATTCTTCGGGCATGTATTCATCAGACCAAATTCTGCTTAAGAGCTGGTACATACGCCCCACCAACTCTTCGCCACCGGCTTTGAACAGCTCAGCCGGTATACCGTCGGCTCCGGGGGCTTTGTTGTTCTTAAGCCGCTTTATTGCTGTTCTCACCTCGTCTTGGTCCAGTTGAGGGACGTGAGCTTCGTCCCTATACATTGGTTCGGGTTCTAATTCATCAAACGCGCCATCTGTTTCGCCATTTAAAAGCAATGAAAAGTGTTCCCTCCATATCTCAAGTGTACTATGGACATCTGTTACCAGGTTTCCATCTTCATCTTTGCAGGAGCTAGCCCCGGTCTTAAAACCATTTGATTGCTGCCTTATTTTCTGATAGAATTTTCGAGCCGCGTTCCTGTCTGCCAGCATCTCAAGCTCTTCGCACTCACGCCTTTCTGCCTCTCTTTTCTTTCTCTTGAAAAGGCGTCTCTCTTCCCTCCTTTTCTCCCGGTAACGCTCAATTGTCGCGCGTGTCGCCATTGGCTGAAGGGTAGCTTTGTATGCTGCGTATTTTTCTGCAGCAGCCGCGCGGCACTCTTCGTCGTACCAGTTGTTTCTGCGCGGTTTGTAGTAACCAACAACCTCTTCCGCAGCGGTGCGAAGGGATTGGGATATGGAGTCCCACTGCTCATTTATGTCCAGGCGATGAGGAGTTGCTTGATTAAGCAGGATTGAGAGTCGGTTGCTAAATTTTTCGGCTGTCCATTGTGACTGCAGCTTTGCGATGTCGAACTTTCGTCGCGTTGCCTGCCGCACGTTTTTTATTGCACAGAGGCGCATGCGGACCTTAGCTGCAACAAGGTAGTGATCCGAGTCGATGTTGGCACCTCGGATAGAGCGCACGTCAAGAACGCTCGAAGCGTATCTTCCATCTATCACAACATGATCAATTTGGTTCTTTGTTCTTTGATCAGGGGACACCCAAGTTGCTTTGTGGATCTTTCGATGCTGGTGTCTGGTACTACTGACTACCATGTTCCGTGCCGCGGCGAAGTCGATCAGCCTCTCTCCGTTGTCGGAGGTGTTGTCATGAAGGCTGAAATTTCCGACTGTTGGACCAAATATGCCTTCTTTGCCCACCCTGGCGTTAAAGTCGCCCAGAACGATTTTAATATCGTGACGGGGGCAGCGCTCATACGCTTCTCCTAGACGCTCATAGAAAAGCTCCTTAGTCTCGTCGTCCTTCTCTTCCGTCGGGGCGTGCACACAAATTAGGCTGATGTTGTTAAATTTCGCCTTTATGCGGATTGTGGCGATTCGCTCACTGATGGGCGTGAACCGGGAGACAAGGTGTCGAAGTCTCCGCCCAACCACAAATCCTACACCAAATTTGTGCGCCGTCTCATGGCAGCTGTAGTAGATGTCGCATGCTGCAAATTTTTTGCAGCCATGCCCCGTCCATCGCATTTCCTGAACTGCGGTGATGTCAGCCTGGTATTTTGTTAGTACATCCAGCAGTTGGATAGAGGCACCTTCCCTATAGAGGGTCCGGACATTCCAGGTGCATATCCGTAATTCATAGTCCATGTTCCGTTTGCGGGGGTCGTCAACGTGTGGGGATGCAGTTATCCGAGGCTTTTTTGGTCTTTTCATTGGCAATATTTTTTACGTGGCGGGTCCCAAACCCAGCGCACAACCATTGCTGGGGTGGATGGTATTCAACCAGATACACTTTTGTATAGCGGGCCGCTTGCTCCAAGACAGACGCCCGCTTGCAGCCGCACCTCCTGGTGAGCAGACGCTGCAGACTTCAGTGAGCCCTTAAACCGAATAAGTCGGAGTGGCCCCACCAAAGCTCCCTCAATCCCTCAATCAGGAAAATCATATATAATTAATCATAAAAACGAAACGATTACGATTACAGTAGTCGTAATCGTTAAATTTTAAGGATTACAATTAAAGTATTCGCAATCAAGCATGTTATAATTACAATTACAGTAATCGTAATGCTGACATTTTTCAGGATTGCAATTACAGTAATCGTTATCCTAAGTAATCAAAATGTAATCATAATCATAAAGTGCCCAGAGCTCTGGTACTCAATAAATTTTCATAAGAATTTTGAACTTCTTAATTTGATTTTTTTTGGGTATGTGGTTACTAGCCTATGAATTGTAGTAAAGCAAGTGCAAAAGTGACAAAAATCACGTGGTTGTATATATTTTTTTTTTTGCTTGACATTTAAACTGGAATTTCTTGTAGAATAAAATGCGCAGGACCGCTTGCAAAAAATAAAAATAAAATAATATCAACGATAATTTTAAACAATTGCACTTGTTATGAAAAAACCATAAAAGTCGTCAGCAAAAAAAAAATTGAACTTCGATGACGGTATTCACGAGGAGAGAGTTTGTAAATATAGAGCTTGTTTCTCTGTGAATGTTGTTTATATGGCTTGCCGGTGTTCGAAGGGATGCCTTCTGAAGTGCCTAGGAGGTGTTCTAATAATTATTTGTTAGAGGTTTCATTCACTTCGTCTTTTAAGTCCCCGGTGACAAAACAGGCACATCGTAATTTAGAACAAAACAGGCCAGTCAAAATACCTTGTAAGTTGCCAACACCTTTATTTTTAATCGACTTCAAAAAAAGGAGGAGGTTGGTTATCAGTTCGTCGGAATATTTTTATTTTTTTTTTTATTAGCCTAAGTGCTGCCGACGAGAGAGATTTCAGCACCTTGTTGCGACTCTGTATTTTATTAACAATTGAAACTGTAAGCGCGGAGAAAAAGATCAAGCAAAGATATCCCGAAAGATTTAATGACGACTGGTCGTCTCACTTTTCTACAGCAGCGTGGAAACAAACGGTGTCGAAGGCATTCGACAACCCCAATGGTACTAGGACAGTTCTCTTACAGGGCGGTTAGGATTGAGCCGATAGTCGCCTGAGTGTTTATGGCGTTAAGTGCTGTGGCGATGCTGTACACTTTGATGCGTAGCGGGGGAATACGTTGCAATTGAAGTAGTGAAGTGTCTTCACTTTAAGAGAAAGTTATCAGCGTAAATTTAAAAATTTGATCTAGAGGCT